TAGTCTTCCAGTGTGTATTATTATATTATTATACTACGCAAAAATCTATTATTCTAGAATTAACTTTATATGACTCATAAACTTGTATTAACCAAGAATGTGGTATGCTGTCAAATCCTTTTGATATCTATGTAGGTACAATGCAGATTTATATTTTTCATGTTGGCATTTATGTGTATAGTGGAGTCTATAATTAACTGTTCTTTACACCAATTCTGTTCTTAGACTATTATGTTATGGTTGTCAATATGTGAGTTAATTTTAACAGAGATTGCTATGTTAAAATTTTGTAAATAGTTAAAATTGTTTATGTAAGAAAGTTAGCTTCTTATACCAAAAATTGTGTATTTTATCTTTTCCTAGTGACTTCCAGTTATGTAATCTAGCTGTTATATCTGTAATGTCAGTTTTTGTGAACTCTATAAATTTCATTTCTTCTATTATTTTCCATGTGTTTGTTTCTTCTGTTATCCAACCTGCTCTATCGTTGTGTTGAACTTGTTCTTTCATATGCTAGTCCAAAATATTTCTCTACTCTATGAACTACTTTATTTGACCTATTGTTTCTGATGTATTGTGTTAGTCTAACACCGGCAACTCTTAATTTTTTAATATCTTTTTCTAACCTTAGCTGCCATGGTCCGTGTGATAACGGACTAAGAATACGGATTGTCACCACCCCCATTCAACCCGAGGGTGTCGTAAGAGCCGACTAAGGGACCAAACTATGCAGGATAACAAAACTGCAAAGAGAAGGAAAACTTGACACAAACCCTATACCAACCCGTCTGGCCAGCGTGATATAGTAGACCGAAACCTCCTTTTTAGGGAGAGGTTTATGTCCAGCAGTGGACTATTAAAAGCTGTTGATGATAACCGCCATGGTGGTTTGGTAGTAGGCCTTGGTGTTGTATTAGTTGTGTATTCTGTTATTTTGAAGTTTAATTCTTCAGATATAACTAATGCTGTTCAATCACAGATTGTGTATGTCTGTCAGTTGAGTGCCGTCAGATCAAAATTGTAGTAGTATACTTTCATTAAATAAATTAACTAAACGAAAAAGGTGTTTGCTATATCTGAGCTTGGGCAGTTTTGGACGGGCTGATGGGTCCATTCCAGGATATTGGGTCAACGTTGCTCTAAATTTGTCCTGTATTTTTTGTATATTTTCTTGTACCATAGTGTTTTGATTTGCTATACTTAGGATCTCAATATCATTTTTAACAAAACAGCCAGTGATTCAATTTACTGATCACTAGTAAATTGAATCACTGGCTGTTTTGTATTAGTATTGTATTAGTATTGAGAGTATTCTTGTGCTTTTGTATTTAGTGGCAATTGAGTTTGTAAGCGTTTTATGTTATCTGAAATACTTTCACCCATATTTTGTTACTGTGCAAGGGTTGTTGTGTTCGTTGCAAGGGTGTCGGTTGATTTTTATTGTAGCAATAGCCGTACTCTTCTTTGAGCTGATTAATAACAAATAATAATAATAGTTCTTCTTTGGTCCGAAATTCTTTGTGCAGTGACATTAATCTCTGGTATCAGTGACATAAATCTAAAAAATAATTAACAACGCCAATGCGTGTGAAATGTCCATGCAGTTTTTGTCTGTAGATAGTCTTATAAGTTTCTAACTTAGTAATGTGAAGGTAGCTCCGCACGATAAATATGTTAACGTCAGTGATCCATTTCATGCGAACTCTAGTTTTTCCAGCCTTGGTGGACGCAGGTAAAAAGGTATTCACCTCCCGCGCAACATTCAAGGTCAGATTAGGTGGAACCGTATTTAAAATGTGGCTGGTGGATGACGATGGATGGTGATGATAATCTAGATGGTATTTATAATATTGTGCTTGGAATATATGGTTCTATCTATCTATAGGCGTATTTGTCCTATTTTTATGTCTAGTACCATCGTCAGATGTTTCGGCTGTGGCATTTTTGTGGGTAGAAGCCCGCCTGTTCAACTCCACACAACTCCGCTGACGGTTCGCATGCTGAGACATCCAGCGTCAACTCCAAATATACGTTTTCTTTTTGTACGTGTCTTCATTTTAAATGTGTTTCCAGAGCCAAGTTAGCCACGACAGTAATTTCTACCACCTTTATGCAGATAATCTCCAAATTTACACCAAAGCTTCTTCGGTTAAAGCTATCGCTGACATTAACAAAGATCTGACTGGAGTAAGGAGTATGGCCTAAGGTAAATCCATCTAAAACTCATATAATTATATTAGGTAGTCCTAGGATGAGCTCCACGGTAAATTGGCAACAACTGCCAGCTCTCTATTGCGATGGGTCCATTATTCCATATAGCGACAAAGTCTATAACTTGGGAATCTATACGGACAAGTTCTTGCCCTGGACCCCCCAGATTGGTGAGATCAGTCGTAAATTATTTGCTTCAGCGGGATCTCTGCAAAGACTTAGTAACTTTCTTCCAACCGATACAAAAATCGCCTTCGCACAATCTCTTCTTTTTCCCATCCCGGACTATGGTGATGTTAGCTATCTAGATCTGTCCAAAGATCAATTAAACAAACTTAAGTGTCTCCATAATGTCTGCATCAGATTAATATTTGGCTTACGTAAATATGATCATATCTCTGAGTATCGAATTAAGCTCAAATGGTTACCTATACGCCTTCGCCGGAATGTTCATATTCTCTCTATTTTGTACAGTAGTCTGGTCTTACCACACACTCCATCTTATCTCAAAGAACGTTTTGAATTTTTACACAATTCACATTGAAAGTCCTTGTAATGGTGTACAATAAAGAGATTATTTTTTTTTAAATGTTAATGATTGATGAGGCTGGGTCAAGGTCAAACAACAGGTGAGCACTATGAGAGAAACGAGTTATAAAATTATTATTTGTCGTTGATACTGTAATTGACGTAAATACAACGTGTATCTTTTCATGGACCTTGAGACGGTTAAAATTTAAATCAGATTTTGATTGTTCACCCAATTATAAAATATGGTCATTGTCAAAGCCATCTAATTTTTTTTGATAATACACACATTACGCAACATTCATTCGTCTTGACCGACTTATAAGAAAAAATTGGAACTCATTTGATACGTGAGACACTTTACGTTATTAAGTGTATTGACGAATTTGTTTAAATTGGTTTCATTGGTACAATAAGATCATAGTAAGTGGCATTTAAATTATAAAATTACGTTAATATGTGTATTATTTTATTACAATCCAGCTCTTATGGTCTATTTTTTAGCTAAGCTTTTATTAATTCATAAAAATAAAAACGTATTCTCATCATGGTCTGCTGGCAAACACGACGATGATCTTGAACAATAGTGTGTTTTATAGGTTTTAGATACTTAAATTCCAAATTATTTGTAAAGGCTGCAATGTGTAACTGTTTTTTGTCCTAAATAAAAAAAAACAAAATAAAATGATAACGATGAGGGCTATCGGTAAGAAACTTCCCGCGTCGACTTTACTAAAACGTTCTACACCACTCAATGCACAAGGAGCCTGCTATTTTGCCACCTTCAAGTTTAATTTCTGTTACAAAAGATGAGGATTTTCTTTCTAGAATTTGTTTATTTTTGTACTAAAACTCGTCAATAATTTTGACGGTTTTAGTACAATAATTATGACGGTTAGCGGTTTCAGTGTGAAAGTATGACGGACGGACTGACAGACAGACATAATTACTCTCACATTCATACTATTAGGATATAGATTATTCCTGTAAATCTAGGTAATACGTATAAGGTTTTTGTTTAGTTTCCCGACAAAAATTACAAAGTATGTAGCTTTTAAGGCCACTACAATAAATTTAAATCAAACAAGAAAACATTCAAATGTCCTTTAACATGCAATAGTTAAATATTCACTTTATAAGCCTAAAGTAAAGAATACATAGATAGAACCTACTCCTTTTTTAAATCGGTTAACAACAAACATAAATAAATAGAAAAAAGAACATAGATAAATATTAAATGCCATTATAATTTTACAATTCAATAACTGTTAGTATTGAATACATTATAATAAATAGATTATAAATAATTCATACATATATAGTAATAAGAATAATAAAGTTGATGAATTCACTATAAAACTAAGATATCCATATTACCATACAAAGCATAGCACTGAACTCATTTTTGATATTATAAGGCTTTTTTTTTATTAAATATAAATTTTAATTACGTAAAAATGCAACTCTGTTTTGTAGGGGGTCACCAGCCTTTAAATATGAAAGTTTGACTTTCTCGTATTTTAATTATTTTTCATCCCTTGTAATAAAAATTAAAATTAATAATACTATCAATCAATTTTCTTTATGTTAATATATATATATATATATAGCACCCAAAAGTCGAGTCATGTGTAGCCTGCCCTTTTCACATGACGTCAAATTGTCTCTGGTTAATGTTTAGTGCCACCTAGTGGATTAGGTCTTGACAGCTTGCATCCAGTCTTACACCACCACTTGTTGCAAACGTTGTTAGTTCGTCGTTGATTTTAATAAAAGTTACTCCTTGCCCTATAGTAACTAGTTTCTGAGATTGATTGATTAAACAATATCTTAGTTTTCTTAACATAGGTATTTCTTAATTAATCAAAGATTGTACTAATTTTTTTTAAGTAAACTAGTGCAGACAACGTTTTCCTCCTAAATTTGCATATTTGAAATGTTGCAACAAGATCAATTAAATTGTTCATTAAGTTTGAAAACACACGACTAGGTGACCAGCGCGCCACGTGATAACATAATAAAGCCTGCGCCCAGCTGATAGGCAGTAACAAAGGTAGAGTCGGCGACAACAGCCGTCGACAGTTGCCGTCGCGTTCGCATTATCAATAGTCGTACGCGCACTCATACCAGTAAACTGTGTAAGCGCTTACGTGATAACTAACTAAAACTAACAAATTAAATATAAATAAATCATATAAAATTTAATAAATTCGAATTATGCTTAAAACCAACGAACGATAAAGTGAATTTTCGGTGTCAAAATGACGTTGCGGGTCGAAGTACCCGGAGACAAGATTGTGAGTGTGGAACAATGCAAATTCAACCAGCAACACGGCACCGAGATCAAGAAAACGGAAATGCATTTAAGCAAAAGACTGAAACAATTCATTAAAGACTCTTGGGCGATAAGATCCAAAATTACAGTGGAACCCTTTGTTATTTGTTATGTGTTGCCGAGTGTACTAGCGGGTTTAGCAGTTCAGAATTTATGCTTAGAAAAAGCATGCCTCGTAAATTTACATTACGACGAGCGGACATGTCGACACATAATGCAGGGTCGTACTGCCAATTACACGGAGCAAGAAAAAAATGTACAGACCACTGTAGCATCGATGACAGCCTGGAGCTACCCTCTACAAACTGCTTTACCTGGAATATTAGCACTCTTTGCCGGCGCTTGGAGCGATCGCACTGGCAACCGGAAAGCGTTTATGGTGCTACCAATATTAGGAAAACTGCTGTCAGCAATCGGTATTATCTTGACTACGGTGTTCTTTCTTCAAGTTGGTGTTAATGAGACCGCGCTTATCGAAGGTCTCCCGCCAGCTCTTGCAGGCGGTCGCGTCGCTATGACTATGGCCGTATACAGTTATATCACTGATATCACCAGCGATTCTGAAAGGACTTTTCGGTTAGGAATTATAACTGCAATTTTGACACTTAGCAGACCTATAGGCCTTGCTCTCAGTGGTATTATGACTAGGCGGTTTGGTTACTACGGTGTATTCATGGTAGCGTGTGTATTCTATATGTTCGGATTCATTTATATTCTCTTGAGATTACAAGAGAAGACTAAAAAGAAAGTTAAGGGTGAGAAGACCCCGAGTATTGTGTCATTAATCCCTGTGACTGACTTTATGGCGACTGTGAATGTGGCGTTCAAAAGCCGCCAAGGATCGAATCGACTTCAAATAATACTTATCATGTTTGCATACATGCTCATCGTTGGACCGGTACTTGGTAAATATTTTTATTTTCATCAATATTTATTATTAGATAGTTAATGTACTAATATACTAAAGATCTTTAACATTAAGCGCAGAATAATCATGACAGGAAAAACAGATTAAATATCTACTATTCGTAATATTTCAATATTATCGCGATATAAAATGAAATTCACCATATGTGCTCGCATCGTTTGATTTTATTGAGATTTTATGGCCGAATGTATATTTTCTTTCTGTATATGGCACTTACACACAGTCAACTGTATCGTACATACATACTTCATAGTTATGCGGTCAAAGAAGACTAATTCTTTGTCTCCAAATTTACATGGTTTGAATGAATTAAATAATTTTACTACAGCCGAACCGATGAATTTTTACCAAAATTAATAATATTGTCATATCTTTACCTGCTGCTGCTAAAATAAATATAAAAACAATATTTATTATACCCACAAACCAAGTTTTAACATGACGGGCTTGTTGTTCTAGTGGTTAGATGGTTAGATCCTCACAGCTAAGCTCTGGCTTCTGGACCTGGGTTCGATTTTGGGTTTGAGCTAAGATAAAATAATTGTGTGATGAGCACGATAATTGTTTCTGCTGTATGTAATTTAGATAAATTTAATAATATGTATTTAGAAACATATAATTATTTCATAGTACACCCTCAGTCAAGTTTGGGGTTAGACGGCTGTGTGTGAGATAAAAAAATTATCTAAAAGTTAACATAATGGAATTAGTACAAGTTTTGACTGAATATCCACACAAAATATGAACTGAACTGAATAAATGGCGGTGAAATGAAGTAGTGAATTTACAATATATTTACTCCGATATATAATCATTAATTTTTAAACATAAATATTATTAATAATATAATTTTGCGTCTTATTCACCATTAATTCTGATATTACTATTTATTATTTTGAAACACAATAAAATGAAGAATAGAAAGGAATGTTTACGGACCCTAACCGTTTTTGATGTTTACGAATAGCAATCAAGTATGCTGTGGGTTTGTTTCGTTGTCTCAATTTTTTCTAAATATTACAGATTTATTCACAGTGTGTTATTCTTGCCACACATACATGGTTTTTATGCTTTCAAGACAGTTATTCATACATAAATATTCTATTATGACTTATTTGAATTGAAGAAGCAGGAATATAAACTTTTGGTATGGTATGGTACCCGTTAAATGTATTGACCCATTGAGATATAATTTAAGGCAATCGAAGATCGACCCAACAAAAATTTATTAATGTCTTAGTACTAACTGCGATTAAGACAACAAGATCATAAGAACTCAAAACTAAATTAATATAAAATAATGAGAGACAGATATTAAGGCTGTTGCAGAAATAGCCATCCATTATGTCAAGTTATTTTTAACTGATTTCAAAAAAGCAGCATGTTCTCAATTCAGTTTGAACCTGAAAAAACCTTTTTTATACTCTCCCTTTGTTCCTATTAAAATTTGAATATTAAGAAATTAAGAATACAGATTTTTACAATTCATCATGATGTAAAATGTGATGATTGGATGGATTAAGAATACACAGTGTCACCACCCCTATTCATCCCGTGGGCGTCGTAGGAGCCGACTAAGGCAGCTAACTCTGCAGGACAACCGCGAAGAGAACTAAAATCTTGACACAAACTCCATACCACCCTATCTGGCCGTAGTACTAGTATACACCCTCAGTATATAACCTCCTTTCTAAGGAGGCCTATAACCAGCAACGGACTATTAAAGGCTGTGATGGCGATGTAGAAACATTAAACTTGTTTACAAGTTAATTATTATTGAATAGATTATGGTCAAGCTTGGTTGCATTTAAATTTGTATACAATTAGGAATAAAAAGAACCTAATACAATTTTTGTTAATTTAGGCGCATTGAGGTCGATGATACTGTTTCAAAGATAAATTAATTAGAGTTCTAACACATTAGTATTTAAATTTTAACTTTTTCCTTTCCTCCTTTATCTTTAACTGTGACAAATCTGACACTCCACTTTATTTCCTTTCTCTATAAAAGTACAAAGTAGAATATTATCTAAATACAGCATTTTAGACTATTGATTTCCTTTAGCAGTAGAGAAATTGGCTATTTATAATATAATTCCCTTACTAATCAAGAAACCGCCCAACTTTAAATAATACTGAGGATCGCATGGTGGTCGAATTTTGATAGTGTTAAATGTCTCATTATAACTTAGATTGTTATCGTATAGACTTTTGTATTAAGATAGGTCAATATAGAACAATATACGGGACCCACATAGCTTTATTAAGCTGGTTTTACATAATTTTTAACTGTAACAATTATTAACTGTTATTTTTTACAAAATTAGGACCATGATTGGATTGGAAAACGACTGTGGCGTAGCTCACATGTAGTCTTTTGGCCTGAATAAGCTTCAGTGTCTCTATTGGCTTACAGTCAATACTCACTAAACACTGTTCCAATGTTCTAGTACCATATCTTCAATCTTCCTATTTTTTCTGTGCCAGCTGGCACCTGCCTTCGGTTATATGGCTCGTAGCTGTTTTCGTATTCCTACTAAAACTTCTTGTGTTCATCTTCATTTCGACCGTTATTTTTAGATGACATCTTCGGATGAGGTAGATCCTTTTAGAATGTTCTCAACTTTATTTTGAATGTATTATTACAAGTTTTGATATAAAAATACAAAGTACTAAATTATATCTACATATACATAAAAAATATATATACAAATAAATAAAAGCTAGACAGCTGTACAGTTGTGTTTTGTGAAAAACCCATGTTGATTTGCTTGTGTGTAGCCTTATTATTTTTAGTAACAGCCAAAAACTTTATCCAATCTTTCTGTTTTGCTAATTTTTATTGTTGTTTGTGTTTTGTGAAAATAAAGAGGTAGGTAAGGTAGCTGCAAGCTTTACCTATCTTCATTTGTTTATTTGTTAAAAACCTTTCAAATGTGTCGATATATTTCATCGATTTTCCCACAATAGTAAATTGACCTCATTATTTAAATGATCGTTACGCTATTTTTGAAGTATTTAATTTGATCTTAAAAGTAAATGACTTTAAAAAACAAACAAAAAATATTCAGTTGATAAATGGCTTTAAAATCCATTTCAATTTTACATTTTAAATAATAAAACGCTAAACTGGCCTATTGCTCGTAAATTTTGTCATGGTGTCAATTTTGCCAAATCTAAAACGAGTTCCAATCCATATCATTTGTGAGGGAAATAAAACACTACATGCTAGATGGATGTATACACATTTCTTAATTCGATAAAGAATAAAATTGAATATATAGCAAAAAATGCATATTATAAAAGACTTTATTTTGGGTAGATTTTTATTTTCCTCCTTTGGTTTTTTTCTGATCAAATGACAAATCATCATGCCGACTTGAAATTCGTTTTATGGACCAAATGAATTAGGGCCACATGTATTGGTATTGGTATTGGTTATGGGCTCCGATTGCCGCATTTAGACCCGAGAGTGGTCCTTTATGCGTCTAGAAGAGGTTGACTCGATGAGCCAACCAAGCTTTTTTCAGAGGACGTACACAGGCTTCTAGAAGCGATTTTGTACCAGGTATGGCACTTGTCCGCTGTGTGGCCACTCCCTCGCATTCCAGGATTACGTGTGCTGTTGTTTCTTCTGCTTTCTGATTTCCAAAAGATATGCTGGCGCTGACACTGGTTTTAGGTGGGTTTTAGATACCATCAAAAGTCAAGAACTCAAAATGACCATTCCTCGATTTTTTTACAATACCTTGACATCAATGACTTACTTACAATCCTAATACTTTACTTACGTTACTATCATATTTTAAATTCATCTACTATTCGATTTTTGTGCTGTTTTAATAAAAGATACGAGTAGTTTAATCTCCAAGTCTTTAATTAAATTTCGTATGCGTCTCGGTTAGAAATAAATTATTTTTTTATTTAAATCAAAACGTGTTTACTAAAAATTAAACAAGCCAATATACTTTGGCGATTATAGTAATATGATATTTATTCAAATTGTTTTTTTTTTCACACAATCCTTTTTAGGGTATCTTTGTTAATCCTAAATCTTTATTAAAGTCTTTCTACACATACTCCTTCATGTTTCTAATTCAGTCCACTAACCCGCATTTTGTGATAACCGTTTAAGAGATTTAATTTATTAAGTTTTTATTTGTAAAAAGTAACTCAAAGCAATTTTCGATTCAAAACTGTTAAAAGACGAATATTGACACAATTCCATATTATTTGGACTATTGCTATTTCAAATGGTGTCCCATACAGGTAGAATTTTATAACATGCTCTTATTAGTTTAACTGACTGCACGGATGGCGTAGCTGAGTGTTGTGGGTCCGATCCCCACATGGGACGATACTTTGTGTGGATGGTGGTTGATAGTGGCTACTAGTGAGCTCCTCAAGCTTGGGCTCATTGGATTTGTTGCTCTCATAGTCATCAGTCTGATAGTAAAGAAATGAGGATTGGCGAACTCTCATTCACTTTTTAAGTCGGTTTACCACTAAAGCACTTTATTTTAAAGCTTTACTGAACTAGGAATAGGTATTTGTGCTATTGCAAGTGTATACGTAACAACGTCTTTCGAAAAGAAAATCTATTGGTGAAAACTCGGTAAGTCAATCAAGGCAAGGTAAAATAAAAACGTACGTTAAATACGATTATTGTAAATAGTAGTATGTAAAACCTATCAACTGATTGCGGAACCCTTTTCTACGGTGGAAAATTAACCGGATTAATTTTTGGTTCTCTATGATGACAAAATATTGTTAATACATAAGAATGTGTCATGAACACACTTTTTATTTGATATTAATGATAATTTATGTTAATGTTATAAATAAAAGATTCGCAGTAACCAGACACATTTCTGCGGAGTGGGAAACTTGAAATGATAATTTTCTAATGTTAGAAAAAATAATTGAGAAAATATGCCGTTAGAATTGAGCGTCAAATATTTTATTTGAGTAAAAATT